AATAATAAATATTAATAATATTATTATAATGCTTTTATCCCATGGGAGCTCCAGTGGCTAAGTGAGTAGTGAGTTTAGACTTAAGTAATGTCAAGCAAGTGTCGGTGACACGGGGATCAGATGGGTTGTCACTGGAGTGTGTCCTTGAGCAAGACACGACAACCCTAGCTCAAAATACAGGATGTTGCACAGTGGCGACCGACAACGGCATGGTCGTAAACTGTTCTGTATTTGTGTAATATTGTGTATTTATGTATGTACGTATTTATAATTATGTATATATATGTATGTATGTTTGCCATTGTAAAACAAAGTGGCCTTCTGGGACAAATAAAAGTGTAATTTATATATTTATATTATATATTATACCAGTAAAAGCTCTGAGCTCTGAGTCACATTCATGCATAATAAATCATCAATGCTGGGTTATAACATTCAGAGTTAGTAAAATAAAGCACCACTGGGATTTATACCATTTAGACAGAGTCAATAAAATAAATCACTAATGCTGATTTATTTGTAACAGACATAGTCCATAAAATAAATCACCACTGCTGACTTATAACTTACAGAGTCAATGAAACAAATCACCTTTGGGATTTATATATAATATACAGAGTCCATAAAATAAATCACCAGTTCTGATTTATAAAATACAGAGTCAATAAAATAAATCACTGATGCTGATTTGTCACTGCGAGTATATGGAGACTCCCTTTACCCACATAATCGTCAGTACATTTCGCTATCCACATAATATGGAGCATTCAGATATTTCCGAGAAAAATTTAAAAAAAACTAAACACTATTTTTCTTCGTCTAATACACGTTTTAACCTCTATAATTAACACAGGGCGAAAGACAAGAACTCAGATGGCCGCGAGAGGGGAAATATGTAAAGTACAGCAAAGCACAGTAAAGCCTTTAGATTTTTACAATCTACATTTAAGCTATCATAAAATTAATTGTTGATGCAAATTGAAATGTGAAAGCTGATTTTAAAAAATTGTGCTTAGGTCAAATTTTAATGCCTTAAGACCGGAGTTTTCAAATTTTGTTCCATATGCGTATAGCGAACTGCAATGACGATATCCTAGCCATACTGTTCTGACATCTCTTCTCTCCTCAGCTGATAAAGCGCCTTTTTTCATTTGGCGCCTCATTTTTTTGATTTTCAAAACAGATAGCCAGATCAGCTACCCTACTTGTGTGGAAAAAATCAAGGTGTGAAACTGTGACTAGTTTTTTAATAAATTAGAATTCAAATTTCAGAAGAATGTCTTTTTAAATAGTTACCTTGACAAAAATGCTTTTTGTCTCGATACTGCTGTGAATCTAAAATAAAAGGTGTTTTATCAGCAAAGTGTTTATATGTGAGGCATCTTGGTGAACTCAGGCGCTCGTTAAAATAATTAAATCAAAGAAAATGGAATTTTTGGAGGCCGATGGGCAATATTTTTCAAATTTTCTTTGTTGGCTCACCACCTTTTATATCCATTTAAAAACACGTTTTTGTGTGTATTTTACTGAAAAACATTGATTAAAGGCACAAAAAGTAAATTTTCAAGTTTCCAAGGACTCTAAAGGCTATGGAAGTTACTAAACCTTGGCAGCCATTTTATCTCTAACTCTACCTCTGAAACCAGGTGACTTCTTTCAATGGCAAATGTCTCTATACTTCTATTCAAGATAGATCGGTATTTTTTTTTTCACCAAAAGCAAGGAAAATGAACAGGCTTTAAGATGATACCAATAACTCCATATGCCCAAAAATTGACAAGCGCCTGATTCCACCACGTCAAGACACATATTGCTTTATCGAGAAGTAAAAAATCCTCAAGGAGATGAAATTTTTTAATAAGAATAAGTGAACCGTAATAAGATAATTGTGAAGTGTGCTAACAAAATGAGTTACTTCTCGCAATCCATGAATGGAGATATCAGCCACAAATCTACACAAGGGTCATATTTGTAGACTCTAAACCAATGCCATTCTCTTCAAGTTTAACATGTCTTTTATCATTCCATACTGATAAATTGTAAAAATTCAGCCTATACATTTGATGTTTCTATTTCCATTGGTCTAAAATCTGAGAAGTAACTCATTTTGTCAGCACACTTCACAATTTTCAAACATTTTTTTTACGGAAGACATTTGAGTGTATTACCCAGAGGCGCTGGCTTTTTTCAGTGGGTGGGGCCCACAGGTTCCTCTGACACTTGCAAATAGCTGTTTCCCTCTGCAGCTCCGTTTTCTTCATCAAAGTCTAGAAGAGAAATAGATAGTAAAAAAAATTATAATGATGATGATGATGATGATGATCATCATCATCATCATCATCAATATCGTCATCATCATCATCATCATAATAATCCAGTTTCAGATCTGCGACAGACATTGACGATCATGGTTCTCCTTTCATTCCTTTGCTCGGATGCTCTCTAAAAAGCTACGTTTTCCTGATCTTTCCCTGTTACCCATTTGTTTAGGTTACCCAAGTATGTTGTTCTGGGCCTTCCCCTGCCTTGCTTTCCCTCAATTTTGCCAGTGAGAGCTAAATGTTCAAGACCCTTATGTCTATTTATGTGTCCCCAAAACTGCATGTGTTGTTTCCTGATTGTTTTTAATATTGAGCGTTCCACGTGGCCTTCAACAAGCACTACCTCATTTGATTTCTTTTCCTTCCACGATACTCTAGGCAGTCTCCTAAGAAACCACATTTCTGTTGCTTCTATTTTATTTTCACTGTCTTTAGTGATTGTCCATCATCATAATAATGATAATAATCATAATAATCATAATAATGATAATAATAATAATAATAATAATAATAATAATAATAATAATGATAATAATAATAATAATAATAAGAGTAGGCTAGTAACATGCATAATACTCATAATAATCATAATAATAGGCAGAATAATAATAGGCCTAATAATAATAATTAGAAGAAGAAGAAGAAGAAGAAGAAGAAGAAGAAGAAGAAGAAGAAGAAGAAGAAAAAGAAAAAGAAGAAGAAAAAGAAGAAGAAGAAGAAGAAGAATTACAACAGTAACAATAATAATATGAATAAGAATAAGAATAATAGCTCGTTCGTCAATGTCTGACGTTGACCAGTAGGCCTACATCCACCAAAGAGAACATTTCTTAAGCGAAATAAAAGAATTAGAAGAATGAA